GTTGGGCTTCATAAATTGCCACCATATAGAAATAGGCTTATAGCTTATCTTGAGTGGTGCAGTAGCTACCCCCACCATGCAAATGTAATCAAGAGGTTAACAGGCTGCCAAATTCTAACCACACGATAATAATGTTAATTTCATCAACAAAAATCAGTTTCAATGTACAGTAAAGTTTCACCATGTACGAATCAATACGTAGGCTTAGTAGTATCTAGATATTGAGCAGCATATGACTAGATTCAAATTCATGCATTTTATAGAGCCATACATGCAACTGTTCTCATCTCCCAAATGCAAGAGGAATAAGTAAAATACCTTGGCATGTGTCAGATGTATATATAATCAATTTAAAAGCTTCTGATCATACGTCTTTGAGGCCATGGCTTCACCAACAATAAAAAAAATTAGCTGTTTGTAAAATCGCACTAGACATACCATAAGCTCATGAGTCATAAGACCAGCATCATCATTCTTTATCACTCAAATGCTAATAGCTTTGTTGAAGTACGGGTACCTGTATTCCACAAATTCTTGCATAGAAGGGCATCACCCCTATTCATTCCATTTTTAGTCTCGACCGGATCTTTTCGGTGTCACACAATCATGTGCCAGCCTTGTTTATATAGGATTTAACCCCCGCCCCCAATTTAGAGACTCAATCACCAAGTTATTGCTTTTGCACAAGTGGAATATGACTGCATATGCTCTAGTTAAAATTTGGATACCAATCTCTATAAAATTGTAAAATCAACCCATCAAGGATCATTGCAACCCATTCTCATCTACGGCATAAATATATATGCTATGAATCTACGATAAACTTTAGAAAGGCATGAAGGTATGCATTGATAAAAGATGTAAGCATGTTCCATGCTATAATTCGTGGATCCTACAAGAGAGTAGAAAAGCTTATATGTTTGCAGTTTAGCTCTTAACCCCATAGAAATTGGTTCGTTAGCAAATTCCAAATTCATCAGTTTATGATTTCTTCACCCACGGAATATGATTGCGTCCTGCAAAAGCACCATGATAGAAAGTAATGATTTGGTGGTAGTTTGTGAAACTACAAAAGCGGGTAGTGGAAAAGTTCTTCACTATTTGGGGCAATAATTCATGCCCCATTGTTGTTTCTATGGGCAAATGTGTCCATCCCATTTAATTTGGTTCGTTGCAGAATAAGATAGGACTCTTCGATTAGCGAGTGATAAAATTTCATATTGCATGTCAATTCGTGAAATCCTAAAGAAGAGAGTTCAGAAATTCTTCTCTATTGGGGGATTTAATTCATGACCCTATTGTAGCTTCCAAGAAAAGAGTGTATCCATGGCTTCTCATCATGACTTTTTTGTACAGTTTCCACAGACGGCGCCAACTGTTGGAGCATGACTTGGGATTCCCATCCTGCGTGTTGGAGCAGGATTTCTTTCAAGAAGAAATACCTCCACAGGTTCTTAACTGAAGTCCGCACACTTCCTTGGTTGAAAAGAACTCCAAATCGCGTTCCCAAGAATGAATGATGTGAATGGGGTGAGTACCTGCAAAAGCCACTCCGACGCTCAAGTCAGTGTTTGTGCAGCGAGCTCTTAGTGCTCAATTGAATTTCTCGTACCTTTGCTGGAGGTCTAGTCGGGTTTTTATAGCACTTCAAGTCCTTGGGTTTAGCCCCACTTCCCTAGCTTTACGCATCTCATCCTCCACTTCATGGTAATGGGGTTCAGATGACTAGGTTGTGTCTCCCTCGCTCCGAACTTCTCTAGTGGGAGGGAAGTTCGATCATCCCACGTCTTTTAACCGTAACATGTAGGTTAAGCCATGACACATGAGATTTGGTTCCCACAGTGCCCCCCTTTTACCCTCTCTACATGCTTCGCAGGTGGAGAGGGAAAAATAATTTAAGTGGGATTTGGATTCCTTCGGATTGAGCGCATGATGTCATGATGGGCTGATGGCTAAGCACAAATAAACAATTCCTTTTTCTTTCTTGGGCATGCTAATCAAACCCAAAGAAATAATTCGTATTGCACCATTGCCGACCAATGCACATTATTGACCTTTCATGCGCTTTTATCCTTGCTCTCATATCCCGCATGTGAAACATCCGAATATGGATTTTTTTCATGCATGTTGCTAACCTTTCAAGTTTCAACTATGGATTTTTATTGCTTTAGCCAGCCCCATTTAAAATATCCAAATATGGACAGTCAATCCCATGCGCAAGTGGACCGTTTCACTTTATTTTGGATTTTTGCACCTCTGCCAATCTCACATGGTCCCAGTAGTTTTAAACTTTTCTCACTCTTCTGCCGATCTCAGATGGACCCCAGGGTTGATCTGGAAAAGAGACGTGCAGAGAAGTAACAGGCAGAAAATGGGCATGTGCCTTCTGGTTATTTTCTTCCTCTTACTTTCAAAGTTTTTGTAGGTTGTTTTTTGCCTTTTTATGAATTATTTTCTTAATGCGTTGTCTTTGCAATACGCCACATTTGACTTTAGACAACACCCAATAGGTTGAACTGTGGGTAGTTAGCTATAACTATAGTTTTATTTGGCTTGTATGTGTTCCTGTTTACATGACTTCCAATCAATAATGGTACCATGCATATGAAGAGTCCTAATTTCCATGACTTCTAAATCTCCTACATGGGAAAGGGACTCACTCTTTTTGTGCTTCTTGATTTGAAATTGGTTTTGATTATGTTTTCCAGTTAGGTATTGTTTTGATTTTGATTTTGAATTTTCAGGTATTTCAACATTAGCAGCCCATCCACCCTTCCCAGCATCTTATATGGGTACAATTTTGTTTTGATTTTTTTTTTCTTTCTTAGATTCATCTCTTTGTCTCTGTCTTTCATTTTGATGAAATTTGCTGCTTTCCTTGCACTTTTTTGTTTGGTATTCGAAGTCTATAAGATTGATGATTCTTATACAATCCAAAAAGAAAAAGAACAAAACAAATTTCTTCCCCAAATTGGCATATTGCTTTATGTTATTCAAGTTAATTATGTTGTAGGTTTGATCTTTTTTTGTTTACAATGATGACTTTGTTATTGTTTTTCTTATTAGCATATTGCTTTATGTTTCCCATTCATTTTATTGATGGTTTGTGATTGTTTTTCAGGTTGGGGTAAAGAATTAGGCCAAGTACAAGACTAATATACTATTTTGGAGTCTATTTATTTGGCTACTTGAATTTGTAATATTTTCATTCTATCTGGAGATAGATATTTTTTATATATAATGACTTGAAATTTTAGATTTATAATTATTGGTTCTGTAAAGTGAATGTATTGAACAATACTTTCAATTACATGAATGAAATTTTTGTTGGCTTTGATGAGGATATAGTACCTTTGAGAATAAGCATTTAAATTAAATTTAACCGTTATATCATAGTTTATATTCCAATTGAAACATCCCATTAGCATTGTGAATGGCCATGTAAATTAAGATGCAGTGTTTACAATATTAAATAAAAAAAACAATTATAATTTGGACTGAAAAGTCATTTCATTAAGAACTTTTGTGACAGGAACTAGCGTCGCAAACACTGTCGTAAAACCCCAATTTAAATCCAACGGTACTTTATTGCGACACTAGTTTGCCGTCGCAAGACCGACACAAATAGGTATTACGACGGCTTTAAAGCGTCGCAAAAAGACCTGAATTATTTACGACGCCTTTTATTGCGACGCGTCCAAAAATGTCGCAATGCCATCATGAATCGTGTTTTACGACATTTTTTCCACTTTTTACGACACATTTTTATTATCGCGAAAAGCCATTTTTCTTGTAGTGGATATTTATGTTTAGATATTATTTTATGGTAAAATCACTAAATAAGAGGAGATTTCTCATCTTCTTCGAATGGTCTCAGACCCAGCACAAAGGAGCATGGAATTGAGGAGGTGGAAGGCACACGGTACTGATCATGCCTAGAGAAATGGATGAGGTTGCCGATTGGGTGTTTGTTTTTGGAGAGAAGCCCCCAAGTCTAGTAATGGTAGGACCTATCTTGAAAAGTTTTGGTAGAGGAGACACATAGATGTCTTCATAGTTGCTTGGCTGGAGCAACAAGTTGGGGGTGTCGTGACAAAGAAGGGCATTCTTAATGTGTCACAGGCCTTGTTCAGACCAAGAGATGAGGGGCTGCCTCCAATCAGAACAGATTTTCTGGTGAACCTCCTGCCTGCTCAAGATGCATCCCGGCCAGTAACAAAAATGGTGAGAACAACATGGATCTTTGCTACATTTCCCACAGGCGGTGCCAAATGTTAACGGGTGAATTTGTACCTAACGGATTAAGACATAAGCACACACATAACACAAGTGTTTGGGTGGTTCACCCATAATAAGGCTACATCCACTATAGTTTATAGCTTTGTATTTGTATTTAAATATGGAGATTACATTGTGCATGAGAGAGATATGGGAAGAAAGGCTCGAGAGCTCTAGTAAAAGAGAAATAGAAAGCTTGTGAGAGCTTTGGGCAGCTCTTGGAGAAGTGAAGAAGTAGCAGCCGATGGTCCCTTTGAAAGCTCTCTTTTATAGTCTAAATTGGAATAGACAAGGTTGATTGATGGCTGGGACCTTTGCATGGCTAGCTACTCCTTGTTTGGTGGGATGTGACCTATGACAAGAAGGGTTATCCCTTAATTGATTGGATTTGCTTAAGGGGGAAGGTGAGGTCAACAAGGTGCCAACAGTCACCCACCATGACTTGAATGTATTCCTCCTCAGCCAAGTCCACCCCAAGCAAGAACCCCTTCAATCTCATTGAAACTTGATAAACCAAAGGCATATCAATCAGAAGAAACCACATTTTGGTATTGCTAAGAATTTGGTCATAAAAGGAGGCGTGAAGAAGATCATGTCATATTCGCAATAATTCTTACCATTCGAACCCAAAGAAATGAGAGAAAACAAAAACCCAAATCTGAGAAGTACAACGATGAACAATAACTAAATAACTAAAATGCAAGCACAGAGAGAGAGAGAGAGAGAGAGAGATTTTCTCAGCATTTTATTGAACTAGTCGTCAAGGTTACAAAAAAGAATAAAGAACCTGTAATAATAATAAAAGGAAGCAGCGAGAGAATAGTTGTAAGAGATGAGTGGGAATACCCACTTCACTCAACAAGAATTGAACCGACTGATTGAATAACAAAAACAAATTTACATGGAAATTCCACTAACCCAATCTCTACTCTGTTTAAGCTTTTGCAGGAAGGAAGGTTCTCCTGCCAAAGATGGAAAAATACCCCGGCCCGAGAACCTCAAGATCACCAACAGTGCAAATTGCCCCAATTTCAGGGCCTGCACAAAGAATGTGAATTTTTTTTTTATCCTAGGTTAATAATTTGTTGTCACTGCTCCCAGAATCAAATCTTTAGCTTTTTACCCGTGTTGTTAGATCCCCGTTAGAGAAGATGAAATTGTAGTTAGCAAGGTCAGGTTCTATGATCATGCTCTCTCTACAGGGTAGGCAGGCCAACCAGATAGTTGGCTCTTCCTCCTCCTAGCAATCTAATCTTTAACTTAACCTGCTGCTGCTCTCCGACCCTAAGAATGACGGGCCTTTGACTTTAAGGAGCTTTGGACCAATCTCTATTGGCGGTGGTCCCCTCCGTCTCTTTCCCGACTCAAGCTGGTGGTATCTATCCTTTCTGTGGTGTTCTCGCTGTCTACTAACTGATTCTTCATTGGCCAACTTCTTAAACTTGATAGAGATGGGAATTGTACTTCCTCTAGGGACGACGGTACTTCCTCTGGAAAACCTGCCCTCCATAGGAGCACTCTCTGAAACTCCTTTGTAAGTGCTAGTTGTAAGAAACTTAGTTGATTCACCAGTGCTACAAGAATACTGTGGGACCGATGGCCCACATCTTCTTTCAGCTTGCAGTTTCTTCAGTCGCTTAAAACCCTGCTTTTTTCCAGTAATTGAAAACCATAAGTTGTGAAGTCGCACGGCACAAACAGAAATCAAAGAATCATGATAACTAATCGCATGCATCAGAAATTAAAAGTACATGTCTCCTTTAAGTTTACCTTGTTCTCAGAATGCTTTGATGACGATATATCATTTACACTTCTTTTGTCCACCTTCAATGATGAGCGGCGCTTAACCCTAAAGATTTCAGAATCAGAATCATCGCTGCCTTGATCCACAACTGGCCTAACCTCTGATCCATTACAATTTCTTGGGCGCGCACTAGAACATTCATTGTATGATGGAGAGGACTGAGAAGATTCATATGTACTGCGCGCTAATTCTTCAGAAAGCCTTTTAGAATTTAGAGCTCCTGTGTTAGAGTTAGAATTTCTCTGTACCTGCCAGGAAACACATGAACACTACATTACACTTTAGTTACTCAGAAAATTGCTTTTCAATTCACTAAAAGTTGTCTTAAACCTACTGCAGAGCAAATTTACTTAAAGAACAAACATTATGCACTAGAATACAAAAGGCAGCCACATTAAGCAAACAGAGCAATATCTTACATTATTGGGTGCTGATAAGCTCTCACGAGGCTCTAAAAGAGAACAAAGAGTTGATGCAGCACATGAAAGGGAACCATCTGACACTGCAGGACTAGAACATTTTGCACCGCAACTCACCATGGGCTGACCATGAGAACCAGGTTCTGGCTCTTGTGACCGATAATGAGTTGTGCCAGTAAGTTTAGGATTCAACTCAAATTTTATCTCACAATAAGGAGAGTATCCTTTCTCTTCAGTGCTCTGAGACGAAATTAATGGATACGAATAATAGTCATCGCCATTTTCACCAAGCCCTTTTATCTCCTCTAACATACCATCTTCCATTTCAAACTTTCTGGCTGCAGCTTCCAGTTCGGTTATTTCCTCCCTTAAAAAGAGAATAGGGTTGCTTCCACATGAGAAGTCAAGAGACTTTGCCTCTGTATTGGACAACAAAATCACAATTAGCAACTGCATGATTTAAGTTAAAGAGTCTGTTTAACTATCCATATGAATTTTAAACTAAACTCGTGAAAAATATATTTTATTATAAATAATATATATGTATGTATCACTATGAATGGGACAATTCAAGGACATTCCATACAAGTCTGAGATGAGTAGTTCAAGACTTAATAAAGTTTATTCATATAGAAGAAGGCATACCATGTCGAAGGCACACAGGATGCATGTAACAGTTGCAATTAATGTAAGCTACATAGCAATCGCGCTTGCACAGGCTGCAGAGAATGGTTCCGTAGGAGTTTGGTAAAACACCAGTGCATGCACCTGACTTCATTAAAGACCAACGAGCACGATGCTGAAAGCGCATCAATCTAACAAAAGAAGTCTTAATGCATTGATGGGAGACCAAATCAGCAGATGAATATTCAGAATCTTCAAGTTCTAAACTTGTGTACAGAAGCATGGCTTCTTTACACAAAAGTTCTTCGTGAGGAAGCAGGGGCATCCTGTTAAGAAGCGAATAACGCCGGCTAGCAATAGCACCTAAAGGGAACCAATCACCAATTGCAAAGTTGACAGCCTCACCACAGTTGAAACCTATATTTACAATATAAAAAGGTATTATATCCACATTTCTCTAAAGCAAAGAAAAATAAGACAGACAAAGAGGGGATAGTAATATGAAGGGGAAAAGTAAAATAGAAAGCCTACCATGACTGAATCCAGCATGGTATGCTCTAGGGAAAGTAACGACAAACTCTCCTGGCTTTTGCACAGCCTTGTAGACAGGGACATCATGTTCCAACAAAATATTTGGAGGAAACAAAGTTGTTTTCCCCAATAATACATCAAAAGCTCCATCCTCTCCATCAGTTGATATGATATCATGAGTGTACACATGCTCCTTGACTACCTTTTCAAATTGCAGAGCAGCTTGACCTGGAATTCCATACCAGGTTTTGGATGCACCACAATGATGATAATTAATACTGCCATACAAAATAAAAGTTATAAGAATATAATTAATAATAATTCTTAGAATATGAAAGGGAACACATTGTTGCCTTATTGAGATTCAAAAGTCACACATACCTGTACAAATAATGATCCTCCACGTGCCAAGCAAACATACTAAATATCATTCCAATGTATAGCATGGGATCAGTTACACCCTGTTATAAACCCAACATAAGTAACCAAGGGATACAGGCTATAAATAATGCAAAAGGGTTTACAGAAGTAGTCTCATTACCGGAATTGCAGTTTCCAGAAGACGCAAAATGGAATTGGGTAACCTTGAAAGATTCTGAAATCACGAAAGCAGGTGAGTCAGTTAACATGCATGTCACCACATACAGTGAAAAAATAAGAATATTACTCTTAAGAGAGAAAAAAAAAAAGAGGTATAAAAAAAGGAGAAAAAATGGAGCACAAGTAAACTCAATCTGTACAAAGTCAAAATGATCCTTCCATTTGAAGGAGGAAAAACACTCTTTCTCTTAATAATAATAATAGCCCCAAAGGCATTTTGGCAACAGTACTCTTATGCCTACTGTTAGGGTTGGATTGGGCCATGTTGAGATGCACACCACTAATTTGTACTTTTTTTTGTGTCATGTACTCGACATCACTTTAGGCACATTAGAAACTGAACATGGAATGACTGTGAGATATATCAACCACCTACAGAACCGATAAACAGAGAGAAAGATTGGCAGAATGAACACCTTTAAATTCCATTTGCTACTTCCAAGCGGATCACTGCGAGAAGAGGAAAAGGCACTGCCATCTACATCACATGCATATTCAACAGTTTCTGTCTTTCCACAAGCAATTTCTTGCCAAAATTCTTTTTCCATGTACGTGGCAGGCAGAGAACCAGAACTACAATATCGACGAGCAAAAACTTTGTTCGCCATTTTCTCGAAATCACGGAATGTATAATTTCTGTAAAATTAAACTCATTCAAAAAACTGAAGACATGACAAAGTAATGAATTAAAATTTTCAATTAGTGGAAATTCTCACCTTCCGCTCATGAAAAATGTGACCTTGTCATCATTGTCCCACTCAGCAAGACGAAGAGGCTGTACTCTAGTTGTGAATTTGAAACCTGCTTTCTCCCTCATCAATACAACCCCAGCTGGAGTAGAAGCACTCAAAGGGGATATAATCTTGCATATACCTGAACATGACATTGCAGGTTAGAAAAGGAAAAGTTGGTCATATTCAACTCATGTGAGAATAAAATAATCACGACATTTCTCCAATAGATACTGTATTACATGAAACAGGAAAGAGATTAGTAACATTATTCAATAACATATGGCAATGGCAAAGAAAACTTATGCATATAATGAATGGTTTAGGGTTTTTTGCACAAAGTCAATATTACATGAACTGACTAGAGACAGGGGACTACTTTTCTAGGATAAATAAATCAGTTGTATCAATCCAAAAAGTACTAAAAAAGAACATTAAATCTTTAGTCAGTTAGCATTAGATGGGTCTCAGCAGGTCCATAATAACATCTTTCTCTTTTGCATCATTAACAAAAAAAACAAACAAACATTAACATCCAACCCGGGATTACTTGCATTTGGTTTAAGGATGTCAAAATGTTCATACACAGGTCGTGAGCTGCACAAATTCATGTGCATGTCTATACCAGCCACCATACACGTAACAAAATCACAAATGTAATACACAGTCAATCAATTCAAACGTTTGAGGACAAAAGTAAGAAAAGAAAACATACACAGTCAATCAGTTCAAATAGCATACCATATTTTGAAGCTTCTGGAGCTATCTTCTGTAAATAAACCAAAGGATCCTCAAACTCTTCCTTTGCTGGATAGTATACAGGACACTCAGGAATTTTCTCAGTCCAGTCTAGATCACTTGTTTCAAACTTATCCACCCTACGCTTCGAAAAAACATCTTTTCCATGTGAAGCACCACTGGACAGAGAAACTGAGTCGGAACCTCCCTGTAATCTAATACCACAGGAAGCTGAAGCTTTTAAAGCATCCCCTCCGCTTCGAGCCATCATATTAGTTAACTTTACAGGCTCCGTACCAGTTTCCGATCTCATACGCTGAAGCCTTCTACGCTTCAGAATTTCTAATCCATTTTTGGCCTCTTTGGACAAACAAACCCTTCCTTCCACCTGTTAAACAAACAGCTAGGTCATGTACTTGAATTACAAAATATGAAATGTGAAACGAATTCAGTTCATGCATGCATAAGTTCATACAACACCACTCTTTCCTAGAAGTCATGATACAAAAATTATTCAACAAACTCAGCCACATAAAAGTTCAACACGCTATGGTCAGATTAAGTGCTTATATCTGTAATGTTTCGTTTGATGAATTTTCATAATAAAAACAAAAAAAACCAAAACTACCCGCTTCAAAATCCTCTTATCAGTACCTACCCACAACCTTTGCTGCATCGGAGAAAACTATGATGTCAATCTATTGAAACCCTATGGAACGAGAAACAAAGACATTCTACTACATTAACAAAAGATACATGATATACAATGAACCCATACAAACATAAGCCTAAACAAATATTTATATAACAACCGACGAATTGCATGTCATGCTCCGCTTAATCAGTTCTGAATTTAACCATCCTTACAAGGCACTGAACATAAAACTACAACCACTTTATGTAAATCACATGATCAACAACATTTAAAAACGCATGTAAAATAACGATTGCAATTTAAGACGATCCATGTAAAAAGTTTCAAACTTAGAAACAATATATATAGGAAAAGGAAAAACAGAGGGAAAGCTTAAGACCCCAATAGAAATTATGAAAAAATTTCCTAAAGAAACTCCTAAATATCTTCAAACCCCAACAATAATATGCAGTCAAACTGTTGAACTCTCTGTTAAGTTCATCATCAGCGAAACCCAAATATTACAGCAGCATTAAAAACTGAACTGAAAAACAAATAAAAATCTAGAAGCAAAAAAGTAATAATAAACAACCCCGAAAATCGCAACCCCTCCAGAAACTATAATTACTAGCAAAACTGAATTGAAAATTTCCGTAGAAAAAATCAATGAAAATTTAGTAAAAAACTCTACTCCTAAAAGGCATTCCAGCCATTCATGCGTATCGTGAATCCCACGAATGCAGAAGGCAATTTTTTCGACAAATCAAATTTTAGAAAATAGAAGAGAAAAAATAAATAAATATAAGCATTGCAGAAAAAGTGAGAGCAATGTACAAGATCTGAACGCTGAAACAGAATAACAGAAAATTAAAAAAAAGTCAGAATGTAAAAGAAAATAAAATAAGAATGTTAAGAGAACAAAGCAAAACACACCATCTCATTCCGAAGTCGCTCTTTGTACGCCTCCGTCTTTGTTCACCGCAACACACAAAGGATAAGAAACAAAAACCGCAGAAACCGAATCCAAATCGGAGAACCAAACCCTAGATCACAATCCCAGCCACGGCCAATCAACAGCAAGCCTCGAACGAGAACCAGGCAGCCCACATTCTCACCAAACGTGCAAAACGGCAACGTAAAGCTTCGAAATCGGAGATCCAAAGCCTCCAACCACCGAGTCAACGAAAAAAAATGAACAAGTTCGAAGACAGTCGATGAGAGGGGAAGACGCAGCGGTTTTCCGGCAGAAGATGGATGCTTTTCGCCGGAGGCAAAGCGGTTTTCCGGCGACGTAGGCGACGTAGGAAGCTTCCCGGCAAAAAGCAGGGGGAGAGAAATAGTGAAAGAGAAGAGAGAGAAAGGGAAAAAGAGAGGGTGGGCTGAAGAAAGAAACCGAAAAAGGTCTTCGAGGAGGATAATTTATAGTTTTATAGCCGTAAAATATTAAACGCTTTTATTGAGTCTCGTCTGTTCTCACTAGGAAACTGAATTGGTTAAGGAAATAAATATAAAAAGGGAAATTAATTACAAGTTAATTTTTTTAATTTTTTCTCAAAATTGTTTTTGAAAAAATAATTGAAGCATATTAAATATTTTATTGAGAAAATAGAAAGTTTGTGTGAACCATAGTGGTAGTTGTTAGGTGGTTCAACCAAACGCTAGCCGGCCAAAACGCGTTTTTACTTCTCTGCGGGCGTTTCGCTGGATCTGGAAGCTTTCCGTTTTTCCTTTTATCACGATAGTACCCCGGAAGGAACTTCGGTTGGTGTATTAAAAGGCGGGAATAAATGCTTTAGAGGAAGGGTATGTTAGTCTATTCGGAGGACGGTGTCATCGAAGAGTTCTGGTTGCTGTTTGGGTCAGAGAAAAAGAAAGTTTCAGGAAAGACGGAATTATCACGTGTGTAAAAGCCTGTATTACCACATCAGCTGGTGATACTCCCTCTCAAAATCTGCCACATGTATTTTTTAAAGCAAAATTAAAATATATTTTACTGCTGAACTTTGGCTACCAACTTTACCCTTCAACTTTTAATCACGCAAACCCCTCCCCACCGTCTTCTTCCCTGCGCTATGCCTGCTATCTGCGACACCAGACGTCTTCCCTTCTCCCTCGCCATCTACCTTAGCCTTCACCGTCTTCATAGTTAATGAATCTAAAGAACTTCTATTGTCAAAGGACTCAAAACCCATAAACACAATCCGGTCAAACTCTGGAGACACCCTTGAAGCTAAAGAAGATGGGTAATCTCTGAAAATTTGTGGCGTCGACGGAGGGGGAAAGGGTTAGGGTCATTAAAGTTGAAGGGTAAAATTGTAACCCAAAGTCCTGTTGTAAAATATATTTTAATTTTGTTTTAAAAAGTACACGTGGCACCGTATGCATGTACTTGATCGCTGAAACTTCCTCGTTGCACAAGATCAATTACACCTACCTTCCAGTTAGTTAGCCTTTTCGCGCTAAAAGACATTTTAGTCCTCGGTTGGTTGCCCACTTTCCACGGAAGGCGAGGGGTGGTTTCGACTTTGCGCCGGGATTTCCACAAGGGAGGCACCAAGATCACTTCCGTGTAAGTGGATTAACTACCCTCATGCGTGACCAGACGTAGTTCAGAACAACAAGATGAACTCGACACGTGGCGGTACGATCTGAGCCCAAAAAGACACCTGGACGTGGATAAGACTGCGGTTTCTGGCTGTTTGTATATTACTGTGGGTGGTGCCAGGGCTGGAATAGCTGGCAGTTAGTGCAGGTTTCACGCGCCCAGATGACCGGTCCCAGCTTTTTCCGTTTTTACAAATATTCTATAGTTTTGCAACAACAACAACAAACTAGAAAAACCAGGGACGGTTTCCGGTCACTCTCTGTGCTAGTTTTTCTCTCTCCTAATGCTATTGGTTGCTTGCGCCTTGAGCTTTTGTTACGCGGAGGTTGGCCTAATGATTTGTTTTCCACAGTCAGCGAAAACGAAGCCTTTGAATAAGAAAATTAATTTAAATTATATTTCTTATTTTATATATTTAAATTACACATGGACTCAAGGCGTAGGTCTTGGTCTTAATGGCGGCTCGGCTGTTACACTATGTCAAAGTCTTGGAAACGTGTCAAACAGGTCTTCGGCTCGGCTTGGCTTGACAACTAGCCACGTAAGTGACAAAAAAGTCCTTTTTAAAAAGGAATATTTCAAAGGAAATGCCGCAGTTAATGACCCTATCGAATCACGGATTTTACTCAACCTGTTTTTTACTACTTTGCGTGTGTAGTGGTGGAGGACTCGCTTTGGAACAGCTCACTTTTGTATTGGGTGAGGGTATATTTGGAATTTCGGTGCGATTGTTGTGGGAAGAAACGGCGGCGTTTTGGGGTGGGGTAAATGACGAAAATACCCTGGTGATGGATGGATGGATGGTTGGATAGTGGGAAATCAGTTGAATAGTTTTCAAGTCTTTTCTTTAAGATTTCTTCCAGGGTATGCGTAATGCGTATCATATTCATTCATGTTATTGTTTGGAGTACAAATTGTCTTTTTCCATGGACCACCATCAAAGAAAAGTAAGAAACTAGCCAGCCTTTGTCCCAAGTAAAAATTTAAAGAATTAAAAAGGGAAAAGAGATCCAGAATCTTCATTTGTTTCAACCATTTATATTCCCCTCCTTCAAAATCCTGTCCATATACAAAGCTGACGATGATTATGATTCCTAAATTCAAGTTGTCTAGGGCAACAATAATGCTATAATTTATTGTGTAGTATTGAAATACGGTCACATAATATCAATTCACGCGTTATAATATGAATGAACAACAAGATTAATATTTTCCATTTTTAGGATACAATATTAATAAATACTTACTCATATTATAACACATGGACTAGTTATAATATATGGTTCTATTGTTATAAGAATGGAGTTAGCTAATGCAATCACAAAATGTGATGATTCTTTTAGTACTATTAATCCGTCTTAAGCAAAGAAAAAACTCTAAGGAAAGAAACCCTAGTCGCCACCTGACTTGGGGGTCGATGGCCTCCCTCCCCTCTCCTCCCCTTTCTTTTCCTCTAAGTCATATTTTGTTATTTTGTTTTGTGGTGTGGAAACAGCCGCTATAAAACATTGTGCCTATACTAAGCATTCACATCCTTTTGGGTTTGATACCACATTCATTTACCATAAATGAATTTGCATGAACAAGAAGCCAAGCAGGGAAGGGTAAAAGGAGAAGTGGCAAGTTGACTAAAAATGGGTTAACAACTTAACATCTAAGTATCCCCAAGAAAAGGCACAAATGCCCAAAAGCAGCCTCCTACAAGCTTGGAAGTTAAATGCATCAAATGGGTTTTGGCCGTTTTAGAATTTCAAGTCCAACCTGGTCAGAGAGAAGAAAAAGAGAAAGTCTTCAGCATTGAAGTAGACCCGCATTAACATATTCCGAAAGATTTGTGAATTAATGAGTGATTTTCAACAGTGACGAGAAAAAAAAAAACAAATAATTTATATTGATGTGGATGTTATAAATTCTTTTTTTTTTTTTTTTTTGGGCCAAATGTTAAAAATTCCATTTGCATAAATATAAAACTCAGGCAAGTAGGGCCACTCTAATTGATACGTCGACCTGTTTTGTTATCAAGGCACATGGATGGTTGACTACGATAAATTAATTACAAGGCTAATTAGGCATATTATAGCTTCCAAGAGTTCTACTTACTAAAAAAGAAAACTTTCAACAGTTTTTGTAACTATTGGGTAGGTTAGGATAGAGATGGCAATAGGGGATGGATATGTCATTTCCATTTTCATTCTCATTCTCATTCATAGGGTTAAGTGTTCTTTCCCCTATTTCCACCTCCATACTCGTAATATTGAAATTATGAATTCCCCATCCCTGCTTTCGTGGGGAACAAATTTTTAAAAATTATTAGTCTAAAACAAAACTAAGAAACATGACCGCCACTCTACATCTTCTGGGCAACCTGAAGAAAATCATAGCGTCATACCAGCTAAACTCATAATCTCGTACTGGCTAAATCCGAACCCAACGCAACATGACATCTTCCCCTCTTTAGAGTTCCAAACTATGTTAAAGGGAGTCAACTCCTTGTGTACGTGGGTCAAAATACGGTGATTATTTCATGATGACAATATCGTTTCAAGGCGACTACTTCCACATCACAAAATAAACTAACAATCTTGAGGAAAAAGGGAGGGAATGAGAAAAGAAGGGATGACAAGAGACTAGAGAGGGGAGGAGCTAAGACTTTTTTTCTTAGGGTTTTCTCTTTTTTGTAATAAAAAAGTAAGTTAGAATAAGGAAAAAAAGAACAAAAGTTTTGTCCTAGACTTACATTTTTTATGCTATTTAATTCAATATAAAATATAATATGCAGAATATAAAATTTGGTAGGAGTGATGGACATAGCTGTCATGTAACAAAATATTCATATGAAAAATAAATAATATATAGATATATATTCTAAACGGGGCGGATTCAGGTTGGGGATTAAAATACCATCCCCGCTTCACCCCAAAGATCATACCCAAAAAATTTCCCAAACCTATCCCCATACCCAATTTATATTCGTCATACCCAACCAATAGGATTGAAGCCCCACAAAGACCCTAAATTGCCATCCTTAAATTGCCATCCCTTTTTCAAACATGTTGTGGGCATGCAAGGGTCGCACTCCATGAGGTGGGCAGAGGACCTCGACAACCAATTTTCCGACGTCCATGAGGTCGCCCAACCCTATTTGTCCTTTAATAGATTTGCACTGACTAGTTTGGTTCAGTAAGTTTGATCGATTTTTCGGTAGAAATGCCAAACCCTAGTACTTACTCCCAATTTATAATTAAATATCACTCTTTTGTTTGAAAAAGTAAATATAGATAAATTAATAAAGATAAAAGGGGATAGACCAAAAAAAAATCACTATTTAATAACTGATATAAAAATATGTTACATCAATTTCGACAAAAATAAAACTAGAATGACACAAAACAAAAAACAAAAAAAAGGTACTTTTCATTTTTCCCTAGTGGCCGAAATCTTAATCCCAAAGGAGAAATTTAAACCAATTAGGAAATACTTATTTCATAAAGGTTTATGACGAAGGAAACCATGTCCTTGTGCTCTTTCTTATTCGCTTCTGTCACATTCTTTTAGTGGCTGACTCCTTAAGGAATCTTATTTTCAATAGCTAATCCACTTTGATTAAGCCGAAGCTCACAGCTTAAGCAAAAGTCATTTAACTATGCAATCATGCAGAGGAAGCAGCCTCATCATCACCACACAAAAACTATCCCTCACCAACTAGCAACAAGCCAACATCACCACCATTGGGAATCTCATGGATAGTAGGTAACCCATATTAAAATAAATATTATTTTAATTAATTATTT